AAAAATAAACAAATGGGACTATATCAAACTAAAAAGCTTCTGCACAGCAAAAGAAACGATTTTTGATGATTTGAATTATCTCTCTGAGACAACAGTTTTATTCTTCCTAATATCTAAACTCTTCACCTGTGTATTTCTTAGTATATATATGAATTACATTTAGAATACATGTTGTTTATACAATGGAAATACATGTGGGTTACTTGAAATTTTATGTCAGATTGCACTAAATAGCAGGTATCTCTAAGACCTTTTCTTGGCTGTCCCCCCTATGAAATATCCCCTACCCTTTTCTGTAATCTACTTAATTTGTTGCAAAATGGCAATTATGCATGAACTATGTTTGTCACCCATAAGACAGGATTTAACTGCTACATACATAATGATTTTAATTGATGCTAAAGTTCAGGTACTCAAGAATGCAGTAAGGAAGCCTGTGAAATGTGACCCTTTTCACCTGTACACCTTTGCATTTGCATATACAAATTAGATCATTACACTGATGATGTTGTCCTTTTTAATGACTTTTGTAAACAAACCTGATGTGGTTTATAGATGGTGCATTCACACACGTATTAAATTCATAATATATATCTCTTTCTGATTTCCAGTATATCCAGAAAACAGTTCACTGCATATTAGCATATCATTCAAATTTGGAGCCAAACCTGGGAATTGAGAGCAGTTTTTTATTTTGCATCCTTAAACATCAGTTTTATTTTCCAAAATGTGGTATGTGAGATTACTTTTAATAGTTATGTATTTAGTTTGAACATAATTGAACTATAACTAGTATGTACCACATATATTGCTTAGAATAAGGCTACATTTTAAAAGTTTTAATTTAAAGATGATATAAAGAAAAATACTGAGAAAATTATATTGGTAATAGATAGATATGGCAAAAAACATGAATGAATGAAGTTAGAGTAACATTGTAGATCATTTGGGAAAGGCTAAGCTATGCTGCTGTAATAAACAACCCACAATAACTTAGAACAGCAAAGGGCAATTTCTCCTTCACACTGCATGCCCATCATGGGTCTGCTGCTGGCTCTGCTCCCGTCCAAGGCCACGCCTGGTGAAGCAGCACTCTCTTGAACCTTGCCATTGCAAGAGGAAAAAAGCCAAACATGCATGGGCTCTTAAAGCCTAGAAGTAAAACACTTTCACTCACATTTCATTGGCCAAAACAAGTGATATGACCTGCAACCCAGCAGAAGAATACAATGTCACTATATACCTAGAAGAAAAGAGACAACCTAATATTTTCAACAGTATTAATGACTGCTTACCACTGCTATAGCTCAACCTTTGTTACAAGCTGATTAAATTACCTTAGGGAAAACAGTATACCAATATCAAGAATTCTGTATGATAAGTGAATCTAATTGGTTGTTTCTACCATTTGACTTACCACAAGGCTTGTCTCTATCCAGTTTTCATTTTTTCTGCTCCTGATTTAATTAATAGGGTTCGAATATGCTTAAACATTTATTTGGCACTAAAAATATATTTAAACTGAGGAAACTCCCCATCATTACCCAATCCCTGCTATATATCACCTCCACTTTCAGTGTCACCAGGCTAGTCCCAAACTATCAATATTAGCACTTCATTCTTCACATGGGTGCTATGTTCTCACAGCTCTGCACCTCCTTTCTACTTCACTCAGAATGTATTAACCAGACAGACTGATTTTAGTGATGTAAATTCATTAAGAAACTGGCTAAGTGTAGCATAAAGGGGAATGTGGGGACTTCAGTGTGTGCCCCATCCAAGGGAGACCCCTGCTCAGCCATATAGTGATGCAAGTCAGGTGCTTCCCCATCTTCTCATTTTTCAAGAGAAACAAGGAATCTGGACTTTTATTTGAACTTCTCAGTTTTAAATATCAGCAACTAATTTCTTATTTTAATGTCAGTACAGTATGAGACATCCATCCATAGACTGTTTACCCCATGGGCCACTGGTTTTTAACTTCTGACAAAGACATGAATGCAACTAAACATTTCAAAATTTCTGAAAAGAGTGAATAATAAGGAAGATTTTAGTATTGTTTCCCCATTGGCAGAGGAGAAATTCTACCATTTTTCTCCTTTTCTTTTTTTCTAATACAGGAGAAAGAAAATTAAGCAGATGAGTATGCGAAAACAATCATAGGTAAAATCATGAGTGAAAATTTTTAGAATCCTTATCTTAGGAAAGAATTGGCCTGGTAGACGAACACAAAGAGCAAAATTCTTTGACTGGACCCAGTGTTGAGAAATAAGTTTCTAATGCACTGCCTTGTTAGCCTTAATTCTATTTGGAGATGTAGAATCTTAAGAATCAAAAGACAAGTCTTTAACCTTTGAATAAAAAGGTATTAATCCCCTAAATACGAAATACTGTATAGCAAATATAGTGAAACAAAACTTTATGATCAAGCATCCCTTTTTATTAATGTTCTTCCTAGATTCTGTGGTTTGAACGACTTTGCCATTCTCCATTTATTAAGTGACACTTAATTTTGATTTTAACTAATCAACTGTCTACAAATGAGTTTATGTTTATAGTATGTAAAAACTTTAAAAGTTTTTGATTTATTTAATCATATGGTAATATTGTAGTTAGCTCAGCGAATATAGATTCAGAAATATTGTTTTAATGTTAACATGTTAGTTATTTTAAAAATATGTTTATATTGTTTTTGGTTTGGTTTCCATTTATTTAGAAATTTAAAGCATATTCACACTGGCCTTATGTATATTAACATAAGCATCTAAATGAAAGAAGAAAAATTTAAACAATTTTTATGGTTTTGTTATTGGGTAGGCAGCATGTCCATATACATAAGACATTTCTCCTTTTCTTGTACATGTACCCACCAATCAGTAGGCAGTATTAGACACTGAAAATGGGGAAGACCTGCCCCAAAGCCCAAATGTCCTTGGGAGAAGCCTTTGTCACCATGAAAGCAGTTGGAATCATTTGGATTAACTGAGTAATTAAGTCTATTAACTGAATAAGTTTGATTATTTTATTTACTTTCTGTTTTTTTAGACAAAGGCACTTGAGGCAGATAAGACTGGGGTTGACCTACTAGAAACAAAAACATCAAAATACAGAAATAGCAGAATCATTAATAAAAACCTAGAATCCTAGAATTATTAGAAGCTATAAAGCCATAGTTCCAACCAGAATGTACTCTTTTGGTTACAAGGGAGAGAAACCCAACTCTAAACTGGCTTAAGGACAAAAGGGGATTTGCTGGCTCCTATATTTGAGAAGGCCAGGGATGGACTATGACTTTAGGAGTGACAAGGTACAGGTGCCCTCATAATGCCATCAGGTCTCTATCTTGCTCTCTTCTTCTCTCACCTGCACCTTCAGCTGCATTGACTCCATTTTCCAACAGGCTCTCCTCTCCTGTTGGTGGGATGGCTACCAGCAGCCCCGTGCTTGCCCTCTTTTCCAGTGCATCATAAGATTTTCAAATAGATTCTTATGGAATCTAATCAGCCTGCC